AGGGTGTAATTTGGTTTATAAAGGTTCCCGAACGTGGGGTAATTTTATAATAAATTATATATTTATGTTTTGTATTTTGTTTGTTTAAATAACTTATTAGTTTTTTTTTTTTTTTTTTTTTTAAACAGGCCGATTACGGAGAAGAATCTTACGAGAGTTTTAGAGATATTGTTAGTAACAAACAACTTGTTGCTAACGTTGATTATCGTGATAATAATTTACTTCACGTTACACTCTATAACCCTTCGCAAGCTCAATCCCCTGAAGAATCAATTAATCATGAACTAGTTCATGATGGGCTGGCATTGATTAACAAAAAGTTACCTTATATCAAGCGTTACAAAAGTTTAATACAAAAATTCGAAGAGTCTCAAGAACAGGCGAAAAAGTCTAGGGTAAGTAAATTTGGATATTTGGATTGAAATTTTTTTCTTTAAATCTATATCTTTCATTACTTGACATTTTTTCATTGGCTTTAGTCGGGAATGTTTGAATATGGAGATGCGACACTTGATGATGATGAAAATTATTAATATAATTGTTAGTTTTTAAATTAATTTTTTTTGGTATAATAGATTTCAAATGATTTAGACTTAAATTATAATATTTTTATTTATTCTTATTTATTGGTCTTGTAATTTATTTTTTGTTCTATATCAAGATTAATATACACATAAAAGTATTAGAACATTTATAAAATTAACTTGTAAAAAAATATCTTTTTATATTTACAGGAATTAAATGACTACTTGTGTGATTTATTGTAATTTTTACATTGTTTCTTTTGTTCAAAAATAAATTTCATACATTAGTCATATAAACTTAAAAACAATTTTTTTACTGTTGTTATTTCAATTTCTTTTAGTTTTATAGAAATAACATAATAATTTCTTAAGTATATATGTTTCTTGTAAATATTTTTGAGAGCCATTCATATCAGAAGTGGAAATAACATAATTGTGTTATGTTATTTCCATTCCAGAAATTTATTGTAAAAGATTTTTTATTTAGAATTTAATTTATTAAATGACCTGAACATAAAAACAATTTATGGTATTAAATCATTTCTTCATTTTCTTTTGAATTATAAACCTTAATAATGAAGATAAAAATTTCATTGAGAGAATATTTGCTACCTATTTCTATTAAAAAGTAACTGTCAATTACATTTATTTTTATCCTTAGAAAAAGTAGATAATTAGTTTTACAATAAAATGGCAATGACACCAATAAAGAATTATTAAAGAATTATTAAAGAATTATTAAAGAATTATTAAAGAATATGAGAGTATTATTTTAAAAGAAAATAATTTATTCATCAAAGGAAAATGAATATTTATAAACTGATAGCTTTTATAAATTCATTAATAATTTTTTTTAATATCAAAGAAAAAAAATACATTTCCTTTGTTACACACAATACCTCTGAATTTCTTTCTGCTTCACAAGATCAGTGATAATCAAAAAACTCTTTTTTGAATATGGGTTTTTTAAAAAAAAACCTTTATAAATTTAAATTATAGAAGAATTATTAAATTTAAAAATAATAACTTTTATCATGGCTTTCGCTATGCTCATCAAAATGCATCATCAATTACAGATTCTATCTCAACAAAAAAACCAAGCAAACATCTTGTATTTGATAATAGATCACCTTCCTTTGATGATTTCTTGAGATCAGCAGCATCAAAAAAAATGTTAAGGGACACATCTGTAATAGGTAAAGATGACAAATCATTAAATCAAAATAGTGAAAATGGTACTTTGGATAAAAATATGGGAAGTCAGACAATAAACACAATACCTGAGAAAATTCCATATTTAGACATGACAATGGATATAAATAGTATAAAAAACTTGGGAGAGAATACAAAATATTATTTAGAAGTTTATGGATGTCAGATGAATGTTAATGATGCAGAAATTTTGATGTCAATTATGAATAATACTGGTTACCAAAAGACCGAAAAATTGGAGGAAGCAAAAATTATTTTCTTGGTCACGGTAAATCTTGAAATTTATAAATCCATAATAATAAAACAAAATAAAAACCAAATTCGGGAATTTAATTAATATAATTATTATGATTTTCTAGTGTGCTATAAGAGATAGAGCAGAAAATAAAATATGGCAAAGATTAAATGTATTAAAGAGTATAAATTCTAAATTGGGACAAGACAAAAGACCATTAATTGGAGTTTTAGGTGTAAGTTTAATCATTCAATTAACAATAATCAAATAATTGCTTTTATTTTCAATGATCATATCACATTGATTTTAATCATTAAACATTTAAAACATTTAAAACATTAGTGTATGGCTGAAAGATTAAAAACAAAACTTTTAGAAACTGATAAAATGGTAGATATTGTATGTGGACCAGATGCATATCGCTCAATACCACATTTAATTTCATTAGCAATTCAAACTTCACAAGGAGTTGCTAATGTTATGTTATCAGCTGATGAAACTTATGCTGATATTATGCCAGTTAGATTACATAAAGGAATCAATAGTGCTTCTTTGAGTATTATGAGGTTTGTAAAAATGACTCATTTGTTTTATTTCTTGGAATTTCATTGATTTTAAATGACTTATTTATTCTATTATAGAGGATGTAATAATATGTGTTCATTTTGTATAGTTCCTTATACAAGGTAGTTACTCTTTTTTTTGGTTTCTTAAATAATATTTATAAAAAATAATAGAATAAATTTATTTTACTCATATTTTTTTAATTCTTAATAGGGGTAATTCATCTTTTATAATTACTTTGTAATTACTTTAATTATTTTGTTTAAATAAATATCAAATATTCAGGTATTGAAAGAAGCAGACCTTTATATCCTTCAATCATAGAGGAAGTTAAAACATTGAGCAATCAAGGAATAAAGGAAGGCAAATATCCAAATCTATCAAATCTATCATATTTTCTTTATAAAAATTATAATCTGGTTAATTATTCAAAAAGAATTTTTTATTTTATCAAAAAGTAACACTTCTTGGACAGAATGTTAATTCATATCGAGATACAAATGAATATGAATTTTATAAGCCACAAGGTATCGGTGGAGGACTTAGTAATGAAGGATTTAAAACCATTTATAAACGAAAAGGTGGCGGAATCAGATTTACTGAGCTCTTGGATCATGTATCTCAAGTTAATCCTGAGGTATTATTTTATTTTTATTAATATATTTTTTTCTTGTCAATAATTTGTTTTTTAGAAATAAATTTAAATAATATAGATCTAAATTGTATCTATTTAATTATAGATGAGGATAAGATTTGTTTCGCCACATCCAAAAGACTTTCCAATTGAATTATTAAAGTTAATATCAGAACGACCAAATATATGTAATCAAGTTCATTTACCGGCTCAATCCGGGAATACCAAAGTATTGGAAAGAATGAGGAGAGGTTATTCAAGAGAAGCGTAATTTATTGTTATTTTATTTTGATAATTTATTTTGATAATTTTACTTTGATAGTTTTACTTTTTAATCATGAATTAATTTTGTAAAAAGAAAAACTCATTTTCCTTGTCTTTATCATCACAACATAATTAATTAGCTATTTGGATCTTGTAAATACTATTCGAGAAATAATACCTGATGTTTCTTTAAGTACAGATATTATTACAGGATTTTGTGGAGAAACAGAAGAAGAACACCAAGATACTTTGAGTTTAATGAAGATTGTATATATATATATATATATAAATTTATATCATTAGATGAACAATGAGTTTTAGATTAAATCTAACGACCATATGTATTTATGTGCTTTTTCTTGTTTTCTTAAAATAGGTTAAGTTTGACATGGCTTATATGTTCGCATACAGGTAATTAATATTTATTTTTCAATACATGTTTCCTTGTTTTGTACTTGTAAAATTATGTTAGAATATCTTCTTCATTGCCAAATATATATATATATATATATATATATATATATTTATGTAATAATCATAAAGCATGCGAGAAAAAACTCATG